ACCAGTACTTTTTATATGATTAGTTAAAATTTTTCCAGAATAATTAACTAAATATAATTTCTTTTTACTCGCATCTTCATTTGATGATATATTAGTATCTAATTTAGATAGCCAAATATTATTGTCCCAATCAACTAGTAGAATATCTGATTAGCTATAAATGTAATTCTCCTTATACATACTATAATCAATATATCCTAGAAACTTTATTCCATTCACAAAACTATGTTCAAGAATAACCATTTTATTTTATTAATCATTAAATATCATTATATAATAACTTTAAAGGTATACGTTTTTATATCCTTGATTTATATATTGTTTCATATTATCTGTAAAATATGATTTCAGAAGTAAATTATAATTATCCAATTAATACATATACATATAGTTCTCACTAAATAGAGCTACATAGCCGAGACTAGAGCTATTTATACTGATTAGTTTTTCTGGAATTTGCGCTGATTCTATAAATTTAATTTCCTTTATAAGTTCTTTCGTATTAAAATCTATTCTATATAACTCGAAATAATATTTTTAATTTTTAGGATTTAAAGTCTCTTGGAAAAGTACTAGATCTTTTTTCTCTTATAGACTTCTCATTACATGAAATTTAGTTTCAGTTGAGTATTTTGTTTCAATGTGTATTAAATTTTAGATTTTAGTAGTTATTTAAATGTATTATCCTTACTCTAATCCATATGTTGTTATTATTCGACATAAATAAAATGGAATAGTAGTTTAGGAGTAAAAAATACAATTTTTAAAATCTACATTTTCAGGAAATGTATATTATTCCTATGTTTCTTCGTAATATTTAATATTTTTAGCACTATTTATTAGTTAAAACAGTAATAGAAGAATTATTAAATTTTTTATAATAGATTAAGTTTGCATTAATTTTTTATAAATAATTTTATTTTATTATTTATTTTATTATTGGCTTTTGTGAATGTATTTTTAACTTTATTTAGCTGTTATAAAGATACTTTGATATAAAAATGGTAAAGATACATTGTTAATATTAAAATAAAATAAATAATATATATATTATTAATTTTTTTAATTATTTTGTATTATTAATAATAAGCAAAAATTAAAAAAATTGCTAAAACATAGATAATATATATTCAATAAATTAATAGATATAAATTTTTTATTAAAAATATTAAATAAATTTATATTAAATAGATTATATTTTATAAAAATAAAATTATTTTTATTTATTTTGGTTTTTTTATTATTAATTTTTTAAAAAACCGTTATTAAATAATAATTATAGATATATATTTTTTATAATCTAAATTTAATCTTTTAGATTAATTTTATATATTTTTTTATTTATACATAATGTATTTAAAGATTATTTATGTTTATTGAACAACATAAAATAATAATATTATATTTAATATGTATTTTTTAAATTTAAATTGATTGTTTTTTTTTATATGTTATAAATAATATAAAATAATTATATTAAAAACTATATGTTTTTATAAATATTAACTAATTTAATTTTATAAAAGATAAAATTTTATTTAAAAATCATAAATGAACTATAAATACAACGTTTTATTTACATCTTTTTACAGTTTATATTTAAATCAAAATAAAAGAAATATTTTGTAATAATGCTTTTGACAAAAAATGGCATAATTATAATTGTTAATTTTTATAATTTTAAAGAAGAAAAAATTTTATTAATTAATCTTAAAAATTTTAAAAAAATGATAAAAAAATAAATATTTAAAAAAAGTAATTATAACAATTTAAACATTAAAAATTTAAGAATAATTTATTTATAATCAATGGATTAAATTCTAATAAAAACAAAATCATAATAGAAAAATTAAAAACTTATTTAAAAACTATAATGGTAAATATAAAGAACAATAAAAAGTAAAAATAAATAAATTAATATATATTTATAAATATAATTTTAATATTAAAAATAAAATACAATTTACATATATATTTATATATTTATTAATTTAGTTTTTAACAAAGAACTAAAATTTACAAAACCTATTAAAAGATATAAAGCAACTAATTTCATATGAAAAATATATGCATATATGTAATTTAAGAGATATAAAATATTCTAAATAAATTTTTGAATGGATAATAGAATAAAAAAATATTTAGTTTATAATAAAAATATAAGATTATGATATAAAAGAATAATAATTTTAATTTTTAATTAACTTAGATAACTATATTTAGAAACTAATTAACTTAGATAACTATATTTAGAAAATATTAAATAAAGACATTTCTTTTATTAAGTTAAGTAAAGTCATATCTCTAAATTATTATTTGAAAGTATTAGAATTATCAAATAAATTTTAACTGATCAAAGTTTTCTTTAATTTTTCTAAGCTTTTTAATTTTCTTTTAATTTGTATATATTATTAAATTTAAGTTTTTAAAAAATATAATTCAAGAATTTAGTGGCTTTTTTAAAAAAAATTCATTAATATTTTTTCCTTAAATTTAAATAAATATCCCATATAAAATTAAATAGTGTATGTTTTAGAAATATATATCTTTTATTATTGAAAATCATAATTTTAGACAAATTGACCTTTAATATAATTGCTTTAGATAATTATTTTTGTAGATAGCAGAAAAGTTAAAGTTTTTGTGTTTTTAATTTCTGTACTTTTATATTTTTTCCAGATTTTTTTCTCATTTGATGAAAGACGTTATAATTTAAATGATTAATAGATTTTAAAAAAGGCCAACTTAATTAATTCAAACATTAAATAGAAAATAAAAAACTAAAAAATTAAATCGAAGATATTACACTAAGAGAAAATCTAATTTAAAATGCAATTTTTATGTTTAATAAATGTAATCTAGAATTTTTATTTCCTTATAAAATATAAAAAATTACATTTTAAATAAATTAAGTAAAAAAAATACATGATATATATGTTAATATTTATTAAAAATAAGTTTGTTTTTAAATGAGATAATTAATTATTCAATAAACTAATTATTAAAATATGCCTAAAATATTTAATTAGTAATATAAATATATAAAAATTATATTAAAAAAATGTGAAAGAAAGAATTTTAAAAATATTGTTGATATGAAATATTTAACAATTTATTATATTATTAATTAAAGAAAAAATAGACAATATAATATTAATAATAAAATATATTTTTTTTAAGAAAATGATTAACGATTTATGAATTCGAATTTTTATTTCCGTAAAAATTCCAATTAGGTTTAACAAAATATCGCATTTTAATATAACCAAAAAAATAAATATTAACATTAAATTTTTTTTAATATCCTAATCGTGTAATTATTCTTGTTTTTGTTTTTTCAAAAAAAAATAATTAAGTTATTCTATAAACAAATAAAATAAAAAATTCAATATTTACTCTTCTAATTATTAAATTGAACAATCTCATGAAAGAATATCTTTATTTATTATAAGAATTAAAGTCTTTTTTACTTAAAAATAATTTTTTAGATACTTAATTATCTTATGTAAAATTAAACTTTCATTATATAATAATAAAAATATTTAAGAAAATTAAAAAAAAGAAACAAACAAAATATCTTCTCCATCTAAACTAATTAGACAAATGATTTCACAGTTGAAAATTCCTTTAATTTTATTGAAAAAACCTTTGCCGAAAATTTAATTTTATTAGAATTTTTAAACCACAAAAACACAGTTTTTATATAATAATTGCATTTGTTTTTGACACATTATGAATTAAATAAGTAATTTTATAATTAATATGCAATACGAGTATTATATATTAATTTTATAATGCATTTTTTAACAAAATTTATATATAAAATTTTTCCAAAAACTATTAAATTTATTAATAAAAATCATTTATAACCCTCAAATATAGCAAAATATAAATTAATATTTAATTGTAATAGTATTCTAAATAAAAAAATAAATTAAAAATAATTTTTATTTAAAAAAATTGACTAAAACATTCTTGAAATAATATTACAATTATAAAATAGAGATAGAAACTTTTATTATATGAATTGAGAGAAAGACCAAAATAAAAATATTGAAAAAAAAAAAATACAAATATATTTTTAAACCGAAAAATCGATAGAAACTTTCTTAATTTCCCTAAAAAAAAATTTTTAATTAATTAATGAACATTATTTACTTCTAAAGTTCATTTTTTAATTAATTTTTAGAAAACAAGTATTAGTTTTGGATTTATGTTTACCACCTTTTCGGAATAAAAATTCTCATTTTTTTTTCCCCCCCGCAAATTCTCTACTATTTTTTTTTTTTCAAAATTCAACAAAAAATAAATCACACATTGCATTAAAAAATAATTTTTTCTTAATCTTTCACATTTTATTTTTAATTAAAAAACTATCTGATTGTTTAAATTAAGTCTTTAATTATACATTAACAATGTTATTTTGAGAAATTCTCTATTACTGGAAATTATTCTGGATTAAATATATATAACTTATAAGCAATATGAATATTTATTCTTAGGCTTTTAAAGAAACTAATAAAGCATATTCTTCAATAAAGTCATTAATAAATTTAAATATTGCTAACACTAGTTCATATTTTTTGGTAATATTTGATAATAAAGAAATTCTAATTATTTAAATAAATGCACTTAACTGCGTGAAATGAGATATAATTATTTTATTTTTTTTAAAAAAAATATTTATATATTTTAAAAAAAAAAATTAAAAAAGATATGGCTAATTATATGTTTCTAAATTAATTAAATACGAATAAATAAACGATATTAATACAAACATAATATTATAGTAAAATATCCTAACAAAAAAAGAATAACTTTGAAAATATATATTATAATCAACACCAATATCGAATGCTATATAAGATATGTATTTTAAAAATGATTAAAACAAAAATAAATTGACATTTACTTTTTTTATAAAAAAAACTTTTTATTTCTAATAAAAATAATAAATATATAAAAAATTTATAGCTATGTATTTTGTTTGTTTTTTTGTTTCAATGATTTGTAATAAGACATGTTGCAAAAACAGTTACTACTGCACTAAGTTAATTTTTAGCGTATTCTTTATTTTCTTTTGGCCATTTTACTGTAACTATATGGTCTGTAACACTATCCCAATAACAACTTTATGTTGCGCATGCGCCTGAACCTGTAGATTACATTATCATACAGTTTACTATGTATTTATATGGTTTTTATTATTTAATTAAGTATTCTAAAGTTTATTCACAAATTTCATTTATTTAATGAGGAACCATATCTTCTTTATATGGTTTACCTTATAAAACTTTTTCTATGTATAAAACAATTTACTTCTCTGCTTCTTCAGGTTAAAATTATTATTCATCTTGATTTTCGTCTGACATTTTTTATTTTTTGAAATATTTTTTATTTTTTTAAAATAATAATTTTCTTTAAATGTATATTAATTTAAATTTTTTATTTTTATTATTAATATAAAAAGTTAATTATATATTTTATATTTTTTATTAAGTTATAATATTTATTTTTTGCATTTTTTGCATTTTTCATTTATTAAAAAGTTATTGGATATTATCATTTTAATTTTAAATTATTAACTTAATTTATTAATTACCATGATTCAAGTTTAAATTTATTTGTATTTGACTATTTTATGTCGTTAATATTTTATATTATTTGATTATTATTAAGTAGGCTCTATAAATTATATTAGGAAGAGTTTTTTTTAGTGTAAAAAATTTTATTATCTTATTTTTTATTGATCGAATAAATTGAAGCATTAAATATAATTATTCAAGATAAAATATTTGCATGTAATTTAATTATTCAAGATAAAATATTTGCATGTAATTTAATTATCATTGAACTATAAATTTGGTAATATAGAGCATTACTCAAAGAATTATGAAATTAAATAAAATTTATTGATTTAGTTTAATTAAAACAACTATTATATGATTTTATTAGCATTAAGTGGATTAATTATTATTGTTTGAAATTTAAACAACGTGTTTTTAAATTAAATATATATTTTTTATTATTATTTAAAGGGAAAGATCTTTTTTCTTTAATTATAATATTTGTTTATTATTTTTTTAAAAAAATATATATTTATATATATATAATGTTTATTATATTATAATTTATATTTATTTTATCATTTAATATAATTTATTTCTTTACTATAATCTTATTAATTATAATAATATTTCTTATTTGTTAGTAATCTTTATTATTATCATTTATAGATATAACCTAACTTTTAATTAAGAATTTTAAATTCTTAATAAAAAGCACCCTTTCAATTTTTAAAAGTAAACTATTTTTTAAAGAAACGTACTTCTTTAAGCATAATTCAATCTTTACCAAATAATTTACAAATACTTTGAAAAAAAAAAAATTAAAATAATAATTAAAAAACTTAATATTATTTACTTAATATAGCAACAAAAAGTTTATGAAAAGTCTAATCTTCATATTTAATTTTTTATTAATTTAAATAATTTATTATACTACTTTTAAATATTATTTAAATATTTATAAAAAAATATATAGAATTTAATTATATAATGTAATTTATATCCATTAAATTTAAATATATATAATTAGTATATATATATATACAATAAATAAAAGTTAATTGAATATTTTTTTTACATATAAAATTTTTGTTTCTATTTTTATTAAATTCAACATCTAATTCTCCAAAAAATTAATTTATTTTTAAAATATTTGCTAGTAAATAATTTGGATATAATAATTCTATTATTTCTGAGTCTATATATAGCATATTAATGTTTGATCGTAATAAATTTTTAATTTTGTACCCTTTTATTTATTTATATTTTTGGATAATAGAATAGCTGCTTATCGTATTTTATTTATTTAAATTATTTTATAATATCTTTTTTTAAAAAAAAAAAAAAATTAAATATATTATCTGATTCTTAATTATATTAAAAATTAAGTTCAAATTATTATACTTATTATAGTTCTTTTTATAATTATTTAATTATATTTCTTTTTAAAAAACGTTATTTTAACTAATTATATTTTAAAATATATGAATGTCTTCTTCAATTCTTTATTATATTGAATTACTTTTTAAATTGTTAAATAATATTTAATTAAAAAAAAAAAAATATTAATTTAATTATATATTAATTTGATGATAATATATATTAATCTAATCTTTTTTTTATATATTAATATTAAATTAAATAAATATTTAAATTTTATTTAATATTTATTATAGATTTGTAAAAATATAAATAAACATATGTTATAAAATTTATTTTTAAATTTAAATAAATTTACAAAAAATAGAAATAAAAAAATAAATAATAAAAATTTATTTTATTTATTTTAAATAATTATATAATTATATATTTCAATATTAATAATATTAAGACCTCTTATTTATTTTATTTTTTAATATAATCGTACTTTATATATTATTTTCTTAAAAATCTTATAAAGCATTTTAATTTTAATTTTTACACTATTAACTTCTAAAAATTCTATAAAGTTGTAGAGTATTTTTTAAAAACACATAGTTTAGGGAGAACATATGCCACTAATAGTTTTTTAATTATCTATATTTTATAAAACAGTTAAATCTTTAAAAACTTTAAAATTAAAAGAACTTTACTTATCATAATATATATATTTAAAAGGTCCTATTTTTCTAATATTTAATGATATATTTTCTAATTCAACTAATCTCAGATTAGGATCAGCCGTACAATTCGGAATTATTTTTTTATCATTTATTAAATTCAATAAAACTTGCTATTATTGGCATATGTTTTTCTAAATCTCTATTAAATTTATATAATTATTTTAATAAACATCCTCATCTCTATTAAATTTCTAAATTTAAACATCAAATGAAACTGATGTAAATAAATTTTCTTAAACCTCATCAATTTTTAACGAAATTTTTTTTTTTCATCAAAAAAAACCAAAATATTTTATTAAAAACTTTCAATACCCTAAACTAAATTATTAGCTTAATAAAAAGTATTTCTAATTTTATTAAAATTAAAGCTTTTGTATTTTTGCATTTAATTAATATTTTTCTATTCCTATATTAAAGAAGAATTTTCATCTATATAACTTTCATCATTTCTAACCAAATTTTAATATTAAAAACTTAAAGAACTAATAACTGAAATCAATATATACATAAGCCTTTTCTAATCTGTTTTAATACTCTAGTACATAATTTTTTCTTATAAATAAATAATATCTATATTCGGAAAAATTATTTTTAATTAATCCGTTATTTTATTTATTTCAACTTCCTGTATATTTATTTTTAATTTCTATTGTTCTTATATTGTCATATAATCGATTAATGTATATATATTGTTTATCGTAAAACTCATTATTTACATTAATTATTTGCATACACTATTCTCAATGCAAAGATACTATATTTATCACTTAAAGTAGTTTTTTTCTAACTTCATGTATCCCTTTAGTATATACTTAATAGTTCTTTATTGAAGTTTCCTTTAAACTACTCAAAGATTGTTCATTTGTTATATCTTACAATTATATAATTATAAAAGGTTATTCTATTATTTAAATAGCGGTTTTGATTTTAAAAGTCTTCGTTTATATTTTTTCTCCACATTTTTCATTATATTAGGCTATCAAAACATCATTAGTGTCTAGATTTTTAATATTTTTATGATTTTATTTAATGTTTTCTTTTAGATTTTAAATTTAGGTAAAAAAATTTTTTTAATTATTAATTTATAATTTCTTTTCTGTTTCTGGTAATATCAAAGTCTCATTTTATAATTTATCATGCAAAAGTAAAACATAATCTTTCATAGTATCAATGTTATGATTTTTTTGAAATATTTCTGATTTAAATTTAGATTTATTTTTATCAATTTTTACATTTTGTAAAAAATTATTAAATTCTTCCAAACTTTAATCAATTTTATATTTTCGAGATTATTTATTACAATTATGAAGTTTAATTCGATTTGTTATTTTATCGAATTTCGTTACTATTAAAGCATTTGAAAAAATCGAGTCAATAATTTAATTCCACCCATTTTATTTATGATTTTCGTAATATATTTACCTCTAGGAGTAGTTTGTGATATAATTTAACGCCATATAAAATACTATTAATTTTATTTAACCTAGTATATATACATAATCTGGCATTAATATTAATCTAATTAGTATTTAACTTAATATTAAGGCTAAGCTATCTAATATAAATGATTGACTACTCAATAAATAATATGTTGCTAACTCCTTTTATTAAAAAAATAAAAAAAATTAAAAAGTCATTTTTTTTGCTACCTATCCTTCCATAAAAGAAGAAGTATAATCTAAATCAGGATTATTATATAAATAAAAAGTAAAATAAAAAACTTATGAGATAACTATTATTGGGTTTAAATACTTTAATAGAAATTTAAAAAAATGGGTAATTATAATAATTAATGAAAAGCAAACAACAACAATTATATCAGATAAATCTACACTTCCTTATATAATATAGCTTATAAGATAAAATATCTAAAAAAAATAAGCTATTCTCACTTAAATTAGTTTCTTTTTTTATTTTATTATTAATATTCATTTTTAATATATTTTACATTTTAAATGTCTTTTTGTTAATATTCTAATTCCATTTTATTACTCTTAAATTTAAGAGAGTATTTATTTAATATTTCATTATTCATTTATTATACCTAATTTAATAACAAATTTTTATTCAATAGTAAAAAAATTAAAAATTAAATTAATAAATATTAGACTATTAAACAGAATTTATTAAAAATCGAATATATATTTGTTATATAATATTTTTTATCTTAATTTATTATAAACATAAAATATATTTTATAACGCTTTTAATCACAAACCAAATTTTATAAAATAAAAATTAATTTTCAAATGTGTTTTTTTTTTTATATTTTATTATAAACTTTTATAATTTAAAAATATATTTCAATATTTATATATAATTTTATTATTATTTTAATTAATCTTTTTTTCAATTTAAATTTTATTTTTTAACATGATTTTAAATAAAATAATAAAAAAAAAATTAAATTTTATAATCATTCATTTTTTCTATCTTCTTCATCTACTATATTTTTAAAAAGATACTTAGAATCTTCCCATATTTTATCTCTATGCTTAAATGGTGTAATCAACATCATCAAATGAATCTTTAATAAAAATTATATATATATATATATAATTATTAATTTAAATTAAAATTCATATATTTTATACTTGTTTTGCAATCTTAATTTAATTCATATCATTATTTTATCTACTATTAACCATTTAATCGATATTATTACTTTTACAAGACCAAGGAGAAGCTTTGTTTTATAATAATAAAATAGCAATTTTATTATACCCTTCTCTATATGCATAATATAATGGAGTTTTACCTAACTTTAATTAGATTTTTATTTAATAATTAATTATTATTTGATTATAAATTTATTTTATTTTATAATAAAAAATACTTAATCTTTTGAATTTGTATCAGCTTTGTTTTCAATTAAAATTTAAGCCATTTTAAAAAAGCCTCTTTTAACAGCCCAATGTAAAGGCGTTTAAAGTATCTTTTTTTTTGTATAAAAAATTATGATTTTAAAACTAATTATTTTGACATAAAAAAATTAATATTACATTATCATATGCATATACTAAATACTTATCTTGCTTTATTAATTATTTCACATTTGTAATATTATTTTATTTAACATATTCAAAAAAAGGCTTAGAGTCCTATCTATAATATGGAATTTTAATAAAAACATTATTAAACATTCCCTTTTGTTAAAAAAATAAAAAATATAGTAAATAATAAAAATATGAATTTTACTTCTTTTATTGTTAACTTTAAATATATATATTTTTATAATTATTATATTATTTCTTTTAAGATTTTTTAAAACTTTCTAGCTTTATTTATCGATATACTTTATATTTTCTTATAATTATAATTCTGAAGCAATTTAATATTTATTTTATCATTTTGATAATTTTTTTATTACAAAAGTAGATTATTATTTTATACATTAAAAAATTTTTTAGTTTTATATTCATTTAATAGATTTTAATCTTTTTAAGAAAAATATTCTTCCTATTCATCGTCATCATTTTTTTTTTTTTCTTTTAAACTATTATAAATATTATATACTTCTTATAAATTCTAATCTTATTCACTTATACATTAATATCTAAAAATATACTTAAAAATTTTAAACATACAAAATTTTATATATTTTAAAATTTATTTTACTTAATAGAATTCGAATTTATTTAATTATTGATTTTATTATTATTTTATTTTTTAAATTCTTAAATTTGTTTTAATTCATTAAATGCTTTTTCGCATCTTTATTTAAATTCTTTTTTTTCTTTTATTTCTTCAAACTTCTCTTAAAAAAACTATTTTTATTGAGAATTTTTTTCTGTAAATGCTAATTTTTTTTCATAATAAGTTTAATTTAATTAAATAACTCTATCCTTAATAGAAATTTGTTAAATTTTGTTTTTCAATCGACTAAATTTACTATTATCACTAGTTAAAGAAATCATTTAGTTTTTTAATAAATCTTTGCTTTCTGTATTTTTTGATTATAAAATAAAACTTGCTTATTCGATGTTTTTTGATTTATTATTTATAGAATAATTACTAGAGGATTATTCAAAATTTTTTTTTAGAGCAATTGCTCCTAATTAATTCTTAAATAATTCGACTTTATTTTACTTTCTATATAGGTTTTTATAATTAATTAAATTTTTTTATAAACTTTAAAATTCTTCAGAATTAAATCTTATTTAATTATTATTATTTTCAAAAGAATTATTTGAATAAATATATGATTTTAAAATTGGTACTATATTTTAGGTTAAATTTTTTTTATATTTACATAGTCACTTTTATTTTCATTTTTTGTTAAGTATACTAATTTTAATTTTAATTTTTTTAATAATATAAATCATAAATGTTATCTTTTTTTAATTATCTATATTATGTTGGTATTAACAAACTGGTTTATTTATATTTCTAATAATATCAACCTAAAAATTTATTTTTGGATATTATATTAATGATAATTAAAGATTATGACTATTATTCATTATTTCTTTCTAATTAGAATTTCAAAATAAAAATAAAATAAACTTATTAAAAATTAATAAATTAATTAAATAATTTTTATTAAAAAAAAACCATAAAATATTTATTTATTTAAATATATTATTGTTATAAAATGTATGTTTAAAAAAAAAAAAATACAAAAAAAAATTATAAACCATAAAAATTAAATTAAATTAAATTATATTATATAAAATTAATAATAATATATCAATAAAAAGTAAATTTGATAATACTTATTTTTTCGAATATAGGATCTTATTTTTAAATAAAAAAAATCAAACACTTATTTTAAAAATAAAAATTTAATATAAAAGAAAAAAAAAAATATTAAATACTAATTAACTAAAATTAAAAAAATATAAAACTACTACTCCTTTTTAAATAAAGTGAAATTAAATCAGCAAAGACTGATTTTAATTAAAACAATTTTATAAATTATTAATTTAAGCCTAAGTAGGAATAATCCAACTATACAATTTACAATTTATATAATACCTAAATTTATATTTACTTATTAAATAGTAAGTATTTTAAATTGTCTATGTAAATAAATATAGATTAATTTATATTTAATATATATTATGTCTTAAGAAAATTACATAATATAAAAATAAATATGAATAATAAATAAAATGTTATATTTTGTTTTTTATTTTTAATATTATAGAATATTTTTTAAAGTCAATAATCATTACCAATAATAAATACTCATTACAAATTTTAATGTTTTAATTTATAATTTTATAATATTTAAATATATATATATATAAATATATATTATCATTTAATTATGAATTAATTTATAATATTTCATTATAATAACTAAATAATTATAATTTAATTTATTATTTATATTTTTGATAATTATAAAAATATTATATAAATAGTGAAGTTAATATATATAATTATTGCATTTATAATTATATATAATTAAATGTCTACATAAAGCTAAATATAAATTAATATTAAAGTTGAAATAAAAATATTAATTATTGTTTTTGTTTAATGTTATTAATAATTTTAGAAATTTTAAATAATATTTATCAAAATGTTTTTTGTATTAATACATTATTATTTTAAAAAAATATTTTATTAGTTTTAATTGTATTATATTATCAATAAATATTATTGATATATGAAATTGTATTTATATTTTTAAAAATTATCCTTTTAAACGTAATACAAATTTATTTCTTATTATTTATTTTTAAAATAGTATTTTATTATTATATCTAGTTTATTATTAGTAATATAAATTATATATTAAATTAAAAAATATAATCTTTATTACTAATTTAAATTAAAATTTTCATATATAATTTAATTATTATTTTTTGGAAAAAAAAGATTCATATTAATATAATATATATGTTAAAACAAAAACTAAATCATATTTTAATAATATAAATTTATTATATTTTTTTATTTAATTTTTACTAAAATTTGTTTATATAATGAATTTTCTTTTTTTTATTTTTTACTTGTTTCATTTTATTTTTATAATTTTTTATAATAATAATATTTTTTTTTTGAATATAGCTTTATTTAATACATATAAAGCCATCATATATTTCTAATTAAAAAAATAAATTTAAAGCAAAAACTTTATTTCAACAAAAACTACAATCTATTTTATAAAAATTAAAAATTATCTACTTATTTTATTATTTCTTAATGAAAAATAAACAATAATAAATAAAATAAAACTTATATTCTAAAAAATTAGAACAAAGGAAATAATTATAAAAATATAAATCTGAATATAAAAAAATTCATTATTTAATTAATATTTAATTCAGTTTTTAATTATTAATATTTCCAATTTTAACTGCTTCTTTAAGCATACTTTTTTCTCTTATACTAAGTTTTTTTTCAAAATGACAAACCCTTTGTATAATTATATTTAAGGATTACTAAAGCTACTTATTTTCCATATAATACTTCGAAACAGCATAAATACATTAAACACAATCCTAAGAATTCATCCTAGTAATATTTTTAACTCCATCTTACAAAAGCCTTTCATAAATTTTTAGTTCAAAAATCTTATTTTAGGCCATAGAAAATATTAATTCTGCTACAAATCTAGTAGTTAAAACATATTTTTTTTATCTTTAAAAAATTTCTTAAATAATCTAAAAGAGTAACTCATTCTTATCTTTAATTTTAAGTTTACAAATCATCAAAGCTAAATTTTTCAAAGTCAAATTTTTTTCAGAATTTAATTTTTTTTATAATTTTACCTAAATGCATTCTAATATTTTCATAAAATCGGCTTTATGTCTTGTAGTATGTATAGACTATAAAATATTCAATAACATCTAAATACTAAATAATTCTATGTTTTCCTAAATCAAATTAATTGCACTTTCAAAAAGCATTTAATCATAAACCCTTAATTTAGAATAGCTCCATATAATAATAGTCAAGGATTATGTATTAATTATATTTTAATTAAATTCTGGCATTTCAATTAAATCTTCCATTTCTTCGAATTCTATTTCATCTTCATTCCTATTTTCTTTTTCTTCTTTTTTTCTTGTTCTTCTTTTTTTACTTCTTATATTTTTACATGTGGATCTTATAATCTTAAAGTTATTTCTAAAGATAATTCGCTTAATTCTTTTAATTTCTTTAATTATTATTTAGCCATTACCCATAATATTAACGATAAATCTTTAAATTCTAATTATTGTCTTTCTTCGACTAAATCAATAATTAGTTTTTCAAATAAATCATCTTATATTCTTGTTTTGCACATACTCCATACTTTTTATTTATTATATTTTTTTTTTTTTTTTAAAAAAAAATACATATTAATGCTTTCTCTTTATTTGAAAACATTTTTTTATTAGATTATATTGTAAATAAAAGCTATTGGAGTCTTTTATCCGAAATTTATAATTTGTTTTTTTTTGGATCTTCTACGTATAATTTTACATATTAAGTTAATGTAAATACCATATTTCTTACTGAAAAAGTAAATTTATGTCCATTATATAATTTGAATAAAGCATCGGAATTCTTTTGTTTGGAAATTAATTTCTATAAATCTTTATTGTTATAAAATTTGGTGTTTTTTTCTTTTTGGGATTATTTGTATCTTTTTTATCTTTCTTTGTCATTATATCTGTTTTTTTAAGTATCAAATATTTTACTTTGGTCAACTACTTATTTTTTTTCTAAATCTTCTTTAACCTTTTAAAATGTTTTAGTTATATTTTCTTATTATTGCCGATATTTTTATAATATTATTGAATCTATTTTTTCTTCTTATTTTTCATCTTTATTATAATCATCTATATTTTATTTCATTTGTTATTATTGTACTTCGTTTTCTTAAAATTCATCTTAATTTAAAGATTTTGTTTTTTGTATAAAAGGTTTAATTTTCTATGTTGTGCCTCTTCTAATTCTACATAGATTTGAAATGCTTTAAAAAAGTCTTAATTATATTAATTTTTGCATTTTTTTAATTTGTTTATTTATATTTTTAATAAAATATTTAATTTTATACTCAAATAACATTCAAATGAATATTGCTTTTATAAAAATAAAAAATTAAATATTTATAAATTAAAAAAGAAAAAAAAAATATTTAATTCTAAAAAATAAAAAACACATTAACCGCAAATTAAAAGTTTAAACTGTTTACAAACAGTAGACAAGAAGACATAAATTTTTTTTTTCAAAGTCATTCGTATATTTACCCAAAACGCCAAAAAAACGAGATATAAATTACCTTTTGAATCTAATCAATTATCTTTTTTATCTGTGTTTGCTTATTTATGTATGGCTTTTTGTATTTATTATTGCAGTTGTTTTGAAACAAATTTAGTATTAACAATAGATAGAGATATGAATAAATATTATGATGGATTAAAATCTATTTTTAAAGATATTTGGTAATTTAAAATGTAAATTTGTCGAAAGAATCCCTTTAGAAATTTCGGATGTAAGTTTTTCATTTTTTTAATATTAAGAATTTTCAAATTTTTAGTATTATTTATTAAAAAATAATATAATAAATAAACTTAGATTTTTAGAGACGAATTCAAACAAAAAATTTGCAATTTTCATTTTTTAAATAAATACAAAAATCAATAACTAAATACAGAATATAATAAAATAGTTTAACAATAACTTATTTTTAATAAATTTTAATAACATAGTGTATATATATAAGAAGATAACAATAATTTATAGATGATGTAGGTATATTTGTATAATTAAATATGATTGATAAGTCAATATTGAGAATTGTTTGAAAATAAAGTAACTATTTCGATTTCTTTAATAATAAGTTGCTTATTTTATATAAGTTTATTAATATAAAAAATAAAGAAATTTTTTGTTTAAGACAATATACAATCAATTGTAAATTTAAAAAATAAAAAAACATAAGAAAACATATTTATATATGTTTAAATTTAATTTAGTTTAAGATCGCTTTAAGATTTTTAACTAATTTATTTTATATATGAATATATTTTAATCACTTTATGGATTTATAATATTATCTTATGGAGTATATTAATGAAGATAAAAATATCTAATAAATTATTAAAATGGATAAATTCAAATAATGTTTTTTTTTTTTTTTTTATTACTGTTTAATTTAAAAAACAAAACAAAAATTAATTTAACAATCATAATTTAAAAATAAATTTTATAATTTTTATTTATTTATTAAGTAATTATAAAATAAAAAATAATCAATAAAAATAAAAATAAAAAATATGAATACTGAAAATAAAAAAGACCTTCTAGTATTCTTAAGGCTTTTGAATAAAGAATTAGATGAAATAGACGATAAAACAAATAAAACATACTTAACTTTATAAGAACTAAGTGAATTAAATAAAGTTAAGTAGAAATTAAATAGTCTTTAACTACTTAATGAATTATATCCTAAATAATAGTAAATAAATTATATAAATATATGTATAATTAATCTTATAGAAATTAATAATTTTAAAATTGTATACATTTACATAAAATTGAGTAAATCTTATTTTAAAACATAGAAAATTGAATATAAAAATTTAAGGTAGTTATAAAAAAATATACATATAAAATTTATTATTTGGAAAATATAAATATATTATATTTAGTAAATAATAAAATGTTTAGATAAACTTAGGGTTTATACTTTAAATTAAAAAATAAATAAATAAAAAACTTTAAGTATATTAAAAAACTTAACAAACACTGCATTTTTATCGAACGATTTCACAATAATATATAAATAAAAAGATTAATTATTTTAAGAACAATATTTTTCAACGAATGAATAATTAAATGTAAAATAAACAAAAATAATTAATAATAAATATATATATATATATACATTATAAAGATACCTTTATAATAAATAAAATAAACAATTGATGAATTAAGTAATTTTTTAATTGGATAAAACAAATAAGAAATTTTAGAAAATTCCGAAGACAGGCCTGATTTAGAAATATTTACTTAATTTTTTGGGAATAAAACTTTTTTTTTACTAAAATTAAATTAAGACTGTTTTATTGTATTTGAAATTATTGATAAGCAATTTAATTAATTTTTAAAGCTTCCTTATAAATCTTACTTAATAATTTTTGACTTTATTTATGATTTAATTAATAATTTAGGAGACGACAAGCAAAATAAAGAAAAAATAATCTCTGCTTTACATATGATTAAGTTTTAATACATAAAAAATTCTTATTAAATATTAAAGGAAATTATCTAAGACTAAATCACTTATTTTTTATAATGTAAATGGTAAAATATAATAATGTTTATATTTTTATTTATTATTATTATTTTTTTTAAAAAAAAAATAAAAAAAACAGTTAAATAATAGAATTCTGTAAAAACACTAAAAAATCAGAAGAATAATGGGAAATTAAAACTTGTGGTAATTAAATATTTATTCCAATAGGAGATTCTAAATATGTATAATTTATTATTTAAATTGAAAATTTTAGACTTAATTTATTTGCATTTGTAGAAAAAGTATTAATTTTTAATCATTTAAAAATTAAAATAAAATAAAATAGTTAACAAAACTATGGAGATATTTTATAGGGCTAATTTCAAATATAAGTTTTAAAGAATATACAATGTAAATATTAGAGTTAAAAAATCCTAATAATATGTTCTTTTTATTTAACAAAAAAAGATAACTTATTTATTAGCCTTCATCTTTAACTTCTGATTATGAGCAATTTTTATATAATATATTTATTTAATATTTATAATAAATTTATAGTATTATAAACGTTCCAAATAATTATGAACTTGAATAACAATTACTTTTGGATGATATTATTTTTGAAGAAGATAATAAATAATTAATTATAAAAATAATTAATGAATTATAATCCGAATAATAAAATTTTGGAAATGTAAATGGCGAAAACTATTAAATAGATATAATTCCTTTAAGAAGCTAATATAATTAAATAGATTCTTTTTTGCTTATTTTTAATTAACAAAAGTAATAAAATTATAATTTCTAACAAAAAAAACTAGATAAAATAAATAATTAAAAAATAGAAAGAACATAAATAAAGAAATTGAAAATTCATGTTAAATATTAATTGAACATTTTCTTTTACAAAACCATTTCACAACAAAAGATTTAATCAATATTTTAAAAGACAAATCAATAGAATATAAAATTTCTTCATAAATAGACGTAAGTTATTTATATTTTTTCATTAAATTATATAAAAAATAAAAGATGACTGGCGAATAATATAAAGATTGCTATGTAGTTGAATATTATAATACAGATTTACCAATGTTAATTTTTTTTTTTACAATCATAAAATTTTAAATTAATAAAAATAAAAGCAATTTCAAACCAATAATGAGTTAATTATTGCCGAAATTCAACAGTATATCGAGATAATAAAGTGAAGAAATAAACTTAAATCAGCAAATTGGTTTAAAATAAAAAATATTTGGATATATAATATATATAATTTAGTTTAAAATGATATTTTTAGTGTTAGTTAATAAGACGAGGAATTGCTTTGTAGTTGGGATTTCCCTTTTTATAAAATTTAAAGTCCATTAGAGAAAATAAAATATATTTTTTATATGTTTAAAATACATGGATTTGTTAAAAAATTGAACATTTAAGAAGGAATATTTTAAAAGTTTTTATTAGAATTATAATAAAAGTATGATTAATAAAATAATCCTTTTCATAATTTTTAACATGCTATTGCAGGTATTTATTATATATTAAAAATATTTTTTTTTTATGAAATTTTTTTGTAAATTAGTTTCTTAAGCAATTTACTATTTTTTAAATTAAAAATTATTTGAATAATATCTCGATTTTCTAGATGAATTTACTTTACTTTTCTCAGCTTTAGGACATGATGTTGCTCATACAGGAAGAACTAACACTTTTGAAGTTGCAATTTAATCAAAATTAGCCATAAAGCATAATGATGAATCTGTATATTTATTTTAAAATAAATAAAATTATAAAAGTAAACAAGGTATTAGAAAATCATCATGCATCTACTCTATTTAAATTATTAATTCAAAACAATTTTTTGAAAAATATTTCAGTAAATGAATAAAAAACAATAAGGAAATATTGCATTTCAAATATATTGTCAACAGATATGAAAAAACATAAAGAAATAACTTAGTAATTTGAAATAAAATTAACATATAAAAAAAAAGAAAAAGTCAAATTGAGTTTTTTTTTTTATTAAAAAATAAAAAAATATATATATATATTAATTTATAATATAATTAGTTGAGTCAGAAAATGATAAAAAGCTTATGTGTGGATTTATTGTACATGTAGCAGATTTAACTGGTCCTACAAAAAAATTTGAACTAGCTAAACAATGGAGTTTAAGAATATGCGAAGAATTCACTCTATAAGTATTTAATATTAATATATTTAAAAGTTTATTTATAAAAAATAATGTATAAATAAAAATATAATATATAAATATATATATATATATATATATATATATATATATATATATATATATATACTTATTTATATTTTAGGTTTAAGACGAATAAAAACTTGGAATCCCGGTCACATCTTATTTATTAGGTCTTGATTAGTTAGAGATAATATCTAAATAGGAAAGCAATTTTTACAAAATTATTATTCTTCCTTTGTATAATATTTTTATAGATTTTGTTGGAGATAAATATCAGTAAATGTGTTAAAATTGTGAAAATAATATTATTTAGTGGGAAAAAATACATTTATAAGAAAAATATAAGAATAGTGTTGATGGAAAAGTTTAAAAATAATTAAAATAATGAGAATTATTAAAATAAATATATATATATATATATATCATTTATTAAAAATTAATAATATAAAATAAAATATTATATAGTTTTTGTTTGTAAAATGTTTTTATATTTATTAATATATTAAATTATTTTTAAATTTTGTATTGTAATATATTATTTTTTTTAATTATAATAATTTTTAAATTCTTTTTAAAATATTATTAATTTATAAAATATATTTTTAAATATAATTTATTCATATATATTTTTATATTATTTTACGTAAAACTATTAATAAAAAAATATTTTAAAATTATAAACAAATATAATAATATTAAAAATAATAAAAGTATATAAACAATCATTAAATAAATATTTAATATATTTAAAAAAATAAAATAAATTTTTAAATAACTAATTATTAAAATATATTAAAGATATTTATTTATTTATTGTAATATGTAAATTTAAATTAAATATTTTTAGGAAATATAATCATTAAGGAAAAATATTAATATTAAAAGCTATAAAATTTAAATTTATACTATAAAATTAAAGGGTAAAAATATAATTTTAATAATATATGATTAATAATTCTATATATAGATTTTAATAAAAATTTATATATAAAATATAATTAAATTATTAAGGTATAGAAAAAAATATTTATTTAATTAAATAAAACGAATTCTTTTTTATTAAATAAAATATATTAATTATTTTTAAATTATTTAAAAAAAGTTTGAATTAATATAAAATAAATTATTAAAAAAAAAAAACAAAAGTATACATATTTAATTAACTATAAAAGCTATTATTAATAAAATAAAATAATATAAATTATATAATATTCACAATTTTCAATTTTAATATATAAATATATATATATATATATATATATATATATATATATATATATATATATTAATATTACTTATATTTTTTAGTTTAGTTATTTTTTTTAATTAATAATTATAAATAAAATAATAATATAAATAATTATTAATAAAAATGTTATATAGTAAAAGAATTTCCAAAATAGATTCAAAAACAAGCTAATTAGATTCTAATTATAAGATATTATACACTTTAGGGGAAGGAAGATATGCAAAGTTAAAAAAATTAAATATAAAAACATTTTTTTTTAATTTCTTAAAAAATTAATAATAACATTAATAATTTAGATATTTTTTATAATTATAAAACAATCTTATAATTATATTTTACACTTAAAAAAAGAGTAAAGGCTGCAATAAATTTACAAAATAATAAAAAAGTTGCCATAAAATTAATGAAAAATATAGAAGATGAAAATGTCTTTTAATTATTTTTAAATGAAGTTAATATTCTAAGTTAATTTACCTAAAATAAACATATTGTTAAGTTGAAATATGTATGTTTAAACGGATAATATATAAAAAATGATGGAAGAATAAAAAAAGTAATTTATTATGTAATGAATTTAGCAGATTATGGCGAATTGTTTTATTTTTTAAAATTTACACCTAAATTTGAAGAAAACTTAGCACGATATTTTTTCAAATAAATAGTTTAAAGTTTCAATAATATTTTTGAATAAAAAAATATATATAAATAATATATAAATAATTATAAAATATAAAAATTGAAAGATTTAAAAAAAAGAAAATCATTAAATAATAATAAAAGGTATTGATTAATTACATAAATATGGAATTGCTCATTAAGACATAAAACCTGAAAATATTTTAATAAACAAATAATTATAAACAAAATTATGTGATTTTGGTTTCTCTATATAATTATAAAATACAGAATAGATTTAATATGCATTACCTATAGGTTCTCCTGAATATAACCCACCAGAAATAAATGAAAATAATATACCAGAATATAGTCCGTTATAAATAGATGTATTTTAATTAGGTTGTGTGCTTTTCATGATGGTAATGAACAGTGCACCTTTTGAAAATGCTATAAGTACTGATAGATATTATTCTAGATTTTGTTTAGAAAATAAATCATATTTTTGGAAAATATTCTATAATAATTGTAAACCTAGTAATGAATTTAAAGGTTTTTTTTATAAAAATATATTAAAAAAATATAAAATAAAAATTATATATATATATATATATATATATATATATATTTTTCAAATATATATATATAATATTCTATATTTTTTAATTTTTTAGATTTAATTAATAAAATGCTAGAACCTGATCCTTTAAAAAGAATAAATATATAATAAATTGTTTAACATTCTTGGTATAATGGTATTTATTATTAAAAAAAATTAAAATATTTTAATATTCAAAGGTATATTAATTAATAAATAAGATGCTTAATTATAAATGTAATAAAGAATTGATTTAGTTTGTGAAAATGTCATTAACTTCATAAAATAAAAAAATGATCTTAAAATTCAATAATCATGTAAATAATAAAAAAACTAAGAAGAAATTGCTGTTTTAGAATAATTAAAGATTAAAAACTAATAATAAATAGAAGAAATCAATTTAAGTATAATTAATAAAAATAAAAATAAAAAAAAACCTAAAGCTTCACCACCTCATAATACTGTTATATATTCCTAAAATAAATAAGAAATAGAAATTTAGGATAATAATATATTATAAAATAATAAAATTAGTACAACTTAACTTAAAAAATTATTGAAGATAATTAAAATACTTCTTTAATTAATGAAGAAGAATTTAAAATTTAAGGAAACAATAGTGTTGATTAAAAACATAAAACTTAAAACTGAAAAAAAATAAAAAATATATAAATAAATAAAACTTAATGTTATAAAATAAATAAAATATAATTAAAAAATATTAATTATTATAAATACTATATTATACTATATATTTACTAATTTAATGCTTTTTTACATTTATTTTGTTTTTATTTAAAATAAATAATTTATTTTTTTAATAAAATATTTTTAAAAGTTATTATAAATTTGCTATTATATTTTATATTTTTATTTTTTTAAATTAAAGTTTTTTAATAATTTATATTGTATATTTATAATAAATATCTGAAAACAAATTTAAATATAAATATTTTTAATTTTTATATTTATATTAATATATCTAAATTAAAAACAAACAAAATTAGATATTATATTATATAATATTAAATTATGATTAAAATACTCTATTTATTTATAATATAACATAACTAATATTTTTTCTTTATATTAATCAAGGTTATTATTCTAAATATGATTTAATATATATATTTTCTTTAATAATTTCTATATTTAAAATAGTCAGTAAGGATCTAACATGAATAATTTCTTACTATATAGAATTTTGAAATTAATTCCAACCCAATCCAAAAACCAAAAATATAACAATAATCTAACTAGCAAATATAGTATTTTGAAAATAAAGCATTTAAGAAATGTATTATTTACTTATATCCACAAAAAAACTAATAATACTACTGATAGAATTTTATATAATAAAAAAATGTAAATCAATTTAAAACATTTAATTTTCCTCAAAATATTTAATTATATTTTACCTTCTTTAATTTTCATCTTTTTCCTTATATATTTATTCATATCCTATCATACTTTCTATATAATTATTAATAGCAACAATTAAACCTTTATAAAAAATTTAATTCCTTGTTTATTCACAATAATCTAAACTCTTATCCTTTTCAATTTTTAAATATTATTTATATTGCTATATTGTTTCACATAAATTTCCATTTAAAATTTTGAAAAAAAAATCTTCATATTTATATTATTAAAAAAGACTTTTTGCTTAGAAACAATTATGGACTTAATATAAATTGTTAATTATAATTTTCCTTTCTTAATTCAATTTGACCTATAGTTCTTATAAAAACTCAATATTATAATTACTAATATTTAAACTAATAATAGATACTAATTGACCATAATTTTCGATTCTAGTCTAAGAAAGATGACATTTTAATAGTAAAAGTTTTTCTATATATTTTTTTTTATTTTTTAAAATAATAATAATAACAATAAATAAATACAAGTAGAATTAACTATAAGAATCATTTCTTCTTAGAATTTTTCATTAAGGAAATAAATAGTAAAAGGTTAAACAATAATAAGTAAAAAAATAGCAAAAGATTTAACCACAATAACAATTTTAAATCCTGAAAATTATGAAACTTATGAAATTGATTTTTTCTTGAATAAAATCTCCTGATTAATAACATTTTTCTATTACTTTGATTCAAAATATTTTAAAAGAAATTCTTAAATTGGTAAAATTATATCTTTTAAGTTTTCTGGGGATAAACAAGCAAATAACTTTAAAACTTTCTAGTTTTTATATTAAACATAAAAATAAAGAGGAATAACAGCCAAAGTTAAAATAAACGAAAAAGTACAAGTTAAAATTAATGAAATTTACTATTAAAGTAACACATCTAATATATTTTGTTAAATTTCATCCGTCAATACATCTTAACTTAATTTTAATTCAGAAAAATAAATATCAAAATTATCCAAAATTAAAACCTAAGCTTAAAATTAATTCCAAGGAATTTTATCATTCAATGATAAGTATATCCTATTGTATAAAAATATAATAAAATACTATAGTTTAAATTCTTGATATAATTTAAATTTTTCTTAATATCTTGTAACACCTTAATTATCAATAAATTCATTATTAATTTTAAATTTGATAATCCGATTTTAATTATAATCATAAAAAGACATTTCCGTAATATTCTCAATTGAAGTTTAAACTAACTTATTTTTAAATTCATCTGCTAGCAAATATAAAGATTCTAAAATATTCTCTTTAGTAAAAAAATTATTAGATTATTAATTTATTGGAAAAAAATTTGATTATAAAATTCTTTTTAATAAAATTTAACCATAAATTTGATTAACAATATTAACTGTAAAAAGTGGAAAATCTATAAAAATTATATTCTATTTAACTATTTATAAATATTTATTCGCCTATAAAAACTAATATAAAGAAAATCCAGCAATAAAAATCAAAGAACAAATTCCAAATAAATTTATACAAAATAGAGTCATATTATTTTTTTATTAATAAATCTTTTTTAATAATTTATTATTTTCTTAATTTTAACGATAATTTTTATAATTTAAACTATTATCAACTTATAAGTTATTTTATTCCTATTTTTAAGTTATTTGGTTAGTACTACTAGAAGGTGCGTAATTTATTTATTAATCCAATATATTTTTATTGCTTTTTCTTCTTAATTTATTATTAAACTATTCATTTATATGATTTGTAGGTTAATAATTTTAAAATGATTATCCTTATAATAAATTTATATGACGATTTTATTTTGGAGTTATTAAAGAATTTCTAAAATACTTTTTATCTTTAGGATCTGTAAAATAATCATTATTGAAATTAATATAATTAAATTAGCTACTATAAATATTTTTAATATTTGAAATTAAATTATAATTTTAAACATGATTTGTAAATGATATATTATTATTATATAAAAGATTATTACATATATTGGTAAAATTATCAATGCTATAATTATTATTATTATTATTATTATTATTATTATTATTATTATTATTATTATTATTAGTATTATTATTATTAGTATTATTATTTACAATTTATTTATTATTTTCTTAATTTTTTTCATTATTTTTATTTTAATCATTTGTAATATCATTTTTATTATTTATATTTGTAATACTATTATTATTTAATTTATTTTTCTTATATGTATTTTTTACAACGTTAATGAAATTATTATTATATTTACTAATATTATTATTTTAAAATTAATTATCAATATTATCATTTTATAAATAAAATAAACTTTTTTATTTTTCACTTATTTAATCACTCATTAATTCAATTTAATCGACATTACTAAATAGCTCTTATTAAAACTCATCACTATTATAATACATATAATCTGATTCTTCATTATTCGTATTATTTTATATACTTATATTTACATTTTATTAAGATTCAGAATTGTTTTAATTTTTTATATTAAAAAAAAAATTGAATTAATTTACAAATTAGTTAAAGCAGTTTTCCAATTCGTTTTCTCCAATAATTTAATTCCAATTGTAAATTTCTATTGTATTATATTAAATATCTTTATTGTTAACCTAAGAAACTTTTATTTTTATTGAAAATATATTAAATTTTTTATGACTATATTTTCTTATAGTTTATTCTATATCTTTTTCTTGAAAATCTTTAAAAAAAGTATATTTTTTACATTTTTCAGCTACTTTTTATTTCATTTTAGGTAGAAAAGCAAAAGTTTAAATTAATTAATCATTATTTTAATTTATATTATTATTCAAATATTTAACATTAGAGCAATAATATTATAAAAGAGGAATAATTTTATTTACATATATTTTCTATAAATCTTATTATTAACAATATTTCTTAAAAATATTTGCATAAAGATTCTTTGTAACGATTTAAATTTATTATTTACCATTAGTTAAAATATAATCAAGTTTATTTTATTAAAATCTTTCTATAAGTGCCACTATACCAAAATCATGTTATTTTATATTATAAGTTCTGAATTATATTTAAATAGGAATTCCCCATCCTTCTTTATTCTATGCAATTATTAAAGGTATATAATTACTTTATTTATGTGTTTTTTATATATATTATTTTAAAATGTTATCATGATAATTTTAAAAAATATGTGGGATTATAATATTTATACTTTAGTTTATTGTACTTCCTATATCAAATCCAAAAAAATCCTAAAAATTATTCTAAGTTCTTTTTATAGTGCCTATATTATTTACTAAAGTGATAAAAAGAACAAGAGAGTTCGGCTAAAAAACTTTTTAATTAATCAAATTAACTTTTTATTTTAAATTAAAAATATTTTTTTTTTATTATTTAAATTCGTTTTTGTTTAAATAATTAAAGCTTAAATATGTTTTATATTTATTTATAAAAAAATTAATTCTTTGATTTTCTGGACTTAATTAATATAATTTTAAAAGCATATCTTTAATTTTTTGTCTTTATTTTACAAATTTGGAAATTTATTCTTATATAATAGCTAAATCGATGAAATTATTTTATAATTTTATCATTATATTATATTTAAGATGAAGGACTTTATAAAAATAATTTTCGGTTTCATTTAAGTTTTCATCAAAAAAAATACCTATAAAAAAATTTGTTTTATCGATTTCAGGAATATAATTATTATTTAAATTTTATTAAGTGTTTTGATTTTACAAAATATTTTCTAAAGTTATAATTCTAAATTAATATTTCGCCTTTTTAAATATTTTATATAAAAAAATATTTTATATTATATTCATTGTAAGTTTTCTTTTAGTTTTTATCATTTCAATATAAGCGAATTCTTTTTTCTATTAAATTTAAATTAGGAAATAAAAATAACTAAAACTGAAACTTATTAAATCATGAGAACTACATTTATTATTATTTTGAATTTATTTTATTATTTCCAAATATTTTATTCTTATATAATTACAAATTATTTATTATCTATGTTTTTCTTAAACAATTTATTCTTAATAATCATTAATATCTGTTTACTTTAAATAAATAAATAAATAATATATATATATATATTTATACTTATATATATTTTTCTTTTTATAAATAATAAATACATTATTTAGATTTCTTAATAATTTTATATCTTTATTTTTTTCATATATTTCTTACATACTTAACAAACTTATTTCTTCAATTATTATAGACTCTAAATTATTACAATAAGATTTAAAATCTAATTTAATAATAGTTAAAATACTTCTTATAAAAAAGTCTAAATTTTAAACATTTTAAAATTATTTTACTATATCCTATTTATAAAAATACATTATTCTATTCTATTTTTTATCAAATTCTAAAGATATTTTATAACATAAACTTATTAGAATAAAATAAATAATAAGCGTGGCTTTTAATTAAAACCTTATTTTTAAATCAATATATATTAAAATAAATAGATAAAGTAAAGATGAAAATAAACTAAGTTATCTTATTTAACGATTATTGAATACTTTTAAAGATACCACTCTATATATTTTGAATAATCCTAATACTATATTTGAAGCTATTTATATGTTAATATTTTATATATAAATCCTTAAAATACACACTACAATTTATGCAAAAAAATAAATTAATTCCCATTTAATATTGACCCTTTTTCCTAAACAATCTTTTGTATAAATAGAGAAATCTTAATCTAAAGAAAATATTAAGATATCTTTTTAAAAAATGTTAAATTACTAATTTATTTTTATTTTTTTACTTAATGAACATGTAAGAAAGACATTTATTATTGGCAAAGGAATTTCGTATTTGAACTGATTAATAGATAAATAAAAAGATGGCAAATAAATTAAATAATTGTATATTTATGTCAAAATACTACATAAAAATTATAATACACTCGATTTCTCTTTTTTAAGGAATAATTAATAATCAACAATAATATAGATATAAATTAATAAATTTAAACCGATAAAAAAAATTATCACATAAAAATTATTTTAATTATCTAATATCATCTAAGGATAAAATTATTAAATTTAAAGTTCTTAGATAAGGTTATCAGTAATAACTAATTAAATTTACCAAAACTATTCAATCAATATTAAAAAATAGCTTAATAAAAGTGGTCTTTATAATCTATGAAATAATGATTCTATTCTTTTCAAAATATATTTATTAAAATTATAATTATTAAACTACATTGTTTAATATTATTTTTTTAGTTTTTTTTTTTTAAGTATTCAATAGCATAATTCCTAATTATTTTTTTAAAAAAAAATCTAAAGAAAAGAATAATTTATTTTTTATAAAAAATTAATTACGATTATAAATAAAGTAATATAAATATATTAATAAAATAAAATATATTTTATTAATTAAATATATTTTAATATAATAATATAAAATATATTTTATTAAAAATAAATTATAATTGATAAAAAGTTTATTTGACAAGGAAATATTTTAAATAATTATAACATTATTTAAATATATAAATTATATTTTAACTCTATGAAGATTTTGTAATATTTATTAAATAATTTTTCATTCAATAAAATATGAGATGATTTTTTTTTTAACAACTTTTATAATAATTTAAATGCAATAGAATTATATAAAAAAAAACTATAAGATAAAATAAATAACTAAGAATATAATTTTAAATTATTAATTTATTAAATTTAAATATTTTTTAAATTTGAAGCATATTTATAAATTTTTACATATATATTAAATATTTTTATTTTTACGGTAATAATGTTTGATAATAATTAAAGAGTCCTTTCAAATCTTCTTTTTAGTTATTTAATAATTGATTAAATTTTAAAAATATTTATGATAATATAAATCGAAAATGCTAATATGTACATAATGCCTATAGAGTATGGTAAATTAGCTTACTTTATTTTATCTTTAATAATATCAACATTAAAATAAATATTAAAAAACGAAAATAATAGTTAGGATATTTGTAATAAAAAACGAAACTTAATTTAAAAAATATAATTATTATATCATTTGAAATTCTCTAAATATGAAAATATATATAATTCAGTATATTATATTATTAATAATTTAATTATGTTTTAGTATAGTTAAAATAAATATTCTCTTTTAAATTAAATAAAGCTTTTTTGCATAAATATAGTTTAATTAAATAAGATGAAATCAAAAAAAGAGTATTTTATTATATTCACAACACTTTATATACAATATTTATTACAGGATCTATTATTTTTAGAAATAAGCTTATAAATTTTTTATTATTCTATGTTTAATTATACTTTTTTTTACACGCTATTGTTATTAAAAATTAACACAATTGACTCTTCAAATATAGTTAAAAATTAAATTGTTAATATGAATAATTTCAAGGAGGCTAAAGAAAAAACAGATTCTAAAAAGTTTAGCACTATAGTTTACAAAAATTAATTTTCGTAAAATATATAAATAAGTGAAATAAATTGTTAAGAAGAAAATTAAAACATTTTTAAACTAAACGAATAAAAAAATAATTTCACAAAGATTTAAGGATAGATAAAAAAATAAGCATTAAAAAATGATATAAATGAAATAGAAAATGTAGAAATAAATTTAGAAAATAATAAAAAATAATATTTTTATGAATAAATATTAAATTTAATGCATGATGGGATAGTAATTTTAAACGTATTATATAAAATATATAATTACATAATTAAATATATATATATATATATTTATATATATATATATATATCTATTTTTAAGTTAAATCAAGAAATAATTTTTTAAAATTAAGAAATCATTAAAAAATTTGATTTATAAAATTCAACTTTAAAAGAAAAAATTTTCAATCAAAAAAACTTACTAAGTAAATTTAAATATTCAAATGAAAATTTGTACTTTAAAACTTTTGAAGCTTTTCCTAATTCTTAAATTTCTTAATTATATAATACATAATAGTCTTTTACAGAAAGTTCTAATAATACTTAATAATTTATTCCATCCTCTTCATAAAAAAATTTGAAATAAGAATAATTAAATTATACATAGATTCTAGATTGTATGATATAAGGATCCAAACATGATAAATATAAAAACAAAATTTATATATGCACTACACCTACTATAGGAATTTTATATGAAAAAATATTAGGTAAGTTAATATAGCTATAATCTGAAATAAATAATGGTAAAGAAGAATACTATTTAGATTTTTTAGAAAGAAACTATATAAATATTTCTTATAAATCAATAATAAAATTAAAAAAATAAATAAATAAAGCAGATTTTTTTCAAAAAAACTAATGTTCATTACAATTAAGTACTTAACATTCTAAAAATATGGAAAAACAACACGAAAATAACGAAAAATAATCTTAATAATAATTATAAAATCAAGACGATTCAAATTAAAGTATTTTTGAAGTGATTATTTCATAAATGTTTATTTCTGGGTAATTCTATATATTATTACATACTAGTGATATAACTCATTTCAACTAAGTTCATATGTTAAAAAAAATGAATAATAATTAATCACTTATGTTATCAAAAGTTGCACATGAAATTAAAAATCCATTATCATGCATAATATAAATGCTAGAATAAATAAAAGATGTAATATATAAATATATAAATAAATAAATAAATATATATATATATATATATATATATATATATATATGTATTTTTATATATTTATATATATTAATATATAAAGAGAAATGAATATATTGAATTTGCTTTAGCAAATTCTTTAATGTTGAAAAGCTTATTAACAGATATACTTGATATGTCATAAGTTAAAGCTGGTAAATTTTTACTTTCCTTATAAGAATTTAATCTATATGAAATTATAAAAAATGTTATTCAACTAATGAAGATTACCGCAGATTTAAAATAAAATAAAATCTATTTAGAATATGATTAGTTTTTATCTTAAACAGTAACATCTGATTAATACCGAATTCGCTAAATTTTAATAAATTTAATCAGTAATTCTATAAAATATACAAAAAAAGGTAATATATACATTGTAGTAACAAAAGAAAATGAGCCTAAACACTTAAAAATACAAGTAAAAGATACTGGAGTTGGCATAAAACAAGAATAAAAATAAAAACTTTTTAAAGCTTTCGAAAAGATAGAAGATAATCGTGATTTAAATCCCTAAGGAGTTGGCTTAGGCCTTATAATAAGCAATTAATTAGCAATAAATTTATTTCCTAAAAACATATATAGTAAAACAGGACTATAATGTGATGATTGGGATAAGGGTACTGTTTTTTCCTTTTTATTATTTGATTATAGTAATAGGGATAGTTCTTAATAAGAATGTTTATAAGATAGTTTTAGTGAAAATAAGACTGGATTAATTAAAGATTTCGGATCTATAATAAGACCATTTACTGAAATTTAAAATAATAGTTGCATTTCCAATTTCTCTTAATAATTTATAAGAGTTCTAGTAGTTGATGATAATGTCTTTAATTTAAATATTTTAGTTTAAAAAATTCTGGAAATCAATTAATAAAATAATATTATAGTAGAAAAAGCATATTCAGGAGAAGAATGTATTTTTTTTGTCAAATAAAAAGATTTTGATTTTATTTTTATGGACTATGATATGCCAGGGATAAATGGGGAATAAACTGCTTAAGAAATATTTAAAATAAAACCTTTTATTCCAGTTTATTTATGTACAGGGTACGATTATTTGAAATTTTTTAGTAAAAATATTAAATAGGTTTTAAGTAAACCTTTAAGTTAGTAAAAAATTGCTTAAATTTTTTAGGATTTAAAAATATGATATTTTATTTATATAGCATGTATTATATATATAAAAAATAAATAAAAAATAATATATGTATATATAAATATGTATAATAATAAATATATAAATATATAAATATATAAATATGTAATTTTTTTAATTTCAAATATAAATTATAAATAATTAAATACACAAAAAAAAAATTCTTAATTTATTTGTTATAAAAATTAAATTAATTTTACACAAAAGAATCTTATTTTATATTATTAAATATAATTTGTTTATAATTTTTATTTATACTATGAAATTTATAATTTTCTTATTATTATTATTTTCCTTAGTTTTATTAACTTAAATTTATATGACTACATCTTATCTCTGATTTATTTATTTTTTTTAATTAGATTTATTATGTTTTTTTTTATTGTTTTAATAAATTCATTTACTATTAATTTGATTTGTAAGTTCTTTATTTTTCATATTTACTAAAAAAAAGTACATTTTATACTTTATTTCTCGATATTATATAATTTACTAATATTGCTATTTATACCTTCATTATATTTTTTTTTTATTTTTACTTAAACTATTCTTTTGATAATATTGAATGTAAATTTAACTATTTTTTAGGTTGTTTTATAAATATGAAATTAAAAAAATAAAAAATATATAAAAAAAACTTTTTAATTGAAAAAAGTAATTATATTTAAAATAGAAGATTTTTTAGCCAGAAACACTCATGAATCAAGAGTTTCTAATATATTTTTTCTTACTCTTATTAGCTTTTTTTGCAAAAATATATATAACCCAAACATTTTATTAATTATTGATTTCTTTTCAAATATTTCTTATTTTTATTTTGAATTTTAATATTTGAAATATTTCCATTTTTAAACCTATAAAGCTTATAAATGTAATTTTGTATATTAAATAGTATTTTTTTATTCCTCAGTTCAAAATAATAAATAATATTTTGTTTATTTAATTTTTTATTTAATTAATATTTCATTTTAAATCGAAAAGATACTATTTTCAATAAAAACTTAATAAAATTTTAAATTAAAAAGAAGATTAAAAATATATTTTAGATATTTATTTAAAAGTTATACATAAAAATATTTACCTGTATTATGATTAATATGCAAATATTTACCTGGGTATTCATTTAGAAAAAATAATTAACTAAAATCATTTAAATTTTAAATATTTTCCTAATTGTTTTTGTAAAATATTTTTAAAATATCAAAGAAGTTATTTTTTGAATAAAAAAAATGGAGAAAAATACTTAAATTTTTACATTTAAACTCTTATTAAGAAAAACTAAAATCTTTATAGGAAAAAGACTTTTATTATTTTTTCTTATCTTTATTTTATTAAATAAGTTCTCAAAAAAATAATTTTTTACTTTTTAAAGTTTACAAATAAATAAAAATCAAATAAAAAAATACTTAAGAAATTCATATTATAAATACAATTTTAGAAAAAGATTAAAATAAAAAAAAAATGAAAATAATTTTTTATTTATAAAATATTTAATTTTCGAGAAAAATCTAAAAGAAATAAAAAGATACAAAAAAACAAATTAATTGATTAAAAAGATGATTTATACTTGTATTTAATCCAAGACTAAATTAATATATAAGATTTATATAATAAACTTAAAAACATATCACATATAAATCAAAAAAACTATACATTTTTTAAATAAAATAAAAATAAGAAGAAAATCAAAAAAATTAAAATATTTCCTCTAAAATAATATAGGAAAAAAAACCCTTACAAATGAAAAAATATAAAAAAAAACTTAAAAAATGAATTTATGAATAATTTTGATTTCCATTTAAGAAACGATTAAAGCAATAAAAGCTTTAAAAAATATTGATAAAATAACTAATCTATAAAATTTATAACGTTTTAGAATTTTGAAAATATGTAAGGGATTACATTAATTAAAGAGAAAAAATATGTGAAAAATAAATAATTAAATTTAATTAAAATTAAGAATTTTATTCTTGGATATTTTCTTTAGTAAAATAAAAGGTAATAAATTTAATTAAATTTATCGATGTAGTTGTAAAATATTTCAAAAAATAATTAAATGATATATTATTTTAAAAATTGTGAATTATTGTTGATGTAAATAAATTAATAAAATATAAAATTTCTTTTTTTTTTATTTATATTCATGTATTAAAGATACAAATACTTTATTCTTTTTTTATTAAAAAAAAAAACTTTAAAATCTTAATATTTTTAAAAAAAATTAAGTCATAAATAAATATAAATTTAATCTAATATTAAAATGCTTTAAAATTACTAAGATTAAAAAAATATCTTATTCTAAAATAATAATAATTAGTATGTTTATATATATCAAAAATGAAAGTTTGTTAAGTCAATTATTAGACGAAAATTTACGATTATTCAATTGTAAAAGTATATAACTAATAAATAAAATACTTAAATATAATAAAAACTAAAAAATAAATAAAATAATATATAAAAAAATAGATAAAAATATTTAATTATGTATTTGAAAAATTATATATATGTAAATAATATATAAATATAAATATAAATATAAATATAAATATATATATATATTATATATTTATATATATATATAATAATTATCACTTTTATCTATTTAGAATTATTAAATTACTTTGAATTTTTATTTTTATATCATTTTTATATTAAATACAAGTCTTATAAATAATTTATTTTTATTCCATTATAAAATTTTCTTATATAAATAATTAAAATTATTTCAAATACTTTTTATTGACAATTTTTTTTATTAAATTTAAAAAATATATCTATATAAAGATATATTTAAAAATATTTTATATTTATTTTAATTTTTTTATATTTATTTATTTTAGTTTAATAAAGAACTTTTTTTATATTAAAGATAAGTTAATCAGATTTTTATAATAAGATTGTTTTCCGTATTTAACATTTTTTAAATTTTTTGATTAGAATTTATCATTAATTATATAATATATGATTAAGTGTTTTTTAATTATGTTAATATTTTTTTTTTTTATAGTTATTAATTTATTTTATATTAAAAATTCCTATATTTTAGCCTTTTTTAATAATTAAATGGATTTTTATTTTATTTTATAAAAAATAAGTATATCTTTTTTATTATTATCATATTTATAAAATATTGCTATTATTATTATAAAAACCTATATATATAAATAATTATTTTTTATAAAATAGTATATATTAATAAAAATAATAAATAAGAATAATAATTATAATTCTAACCTATTTTTAATGAATGATATTATTAAAAGATTTTGAATAAATTAAAAAAATGAAATATATAAAATTATAAATCTAGTAAGCTCAAAAAAAAAAAAAATTATTTAAATAACTGAATAATTAAATGAAAAAAAAAACCAAATAAACTCAGAGTATTTATATAAAAAAAATAAAATAAAAACATTATATATATTAAAATAAATATAATGATATTTGATATTTTAATAAAAATTAAATAATATATTATATTATTATATAATTAATTATATATAATAAACAATAAACTTATCAATATTTTATTAATAGAACTATTGTTTATTATATTAAAAAAAGATTATTAATAAAAAATAAAAAATCAATTTATAAAAAGAAATTTTTAAAATAAAAAAAATAATATATATATATATATA